TGCTTTCCAATTGGCTTTCTTGTCATTTTCTAGCGTACCCAACATGTTGAACAATGTACAATTCATCCTCTCGCACTGCCCGTTCCCAATAGGATGGTAGGGCGTAGTATGGGACTTCTCAATGCCCAACAATTGGCAGAGTTTGCACACCACTTTACGACCCTGTTCTGAATGTAAGCGCTCAGGGACCCCATAGTGAACTATGAATCGCCATAGCAAATTTTGTGAAGTGATTGGTGAGCACTAATATGATAGCAATGCCCCCTTTCGACTCCTCCAATGACAAATAGTCAATAGCAACCAGTTCTAATGGTTGTGTGGTCGTAATAGGTACCATATCAGCTCGGGTCTTAAAGCCTGCTCGGTCTTTTCTGTGAGTGCAACATTTACAAGTTCGAACATAATTCCACACATCGCTTTTCATATGCGACAAGTAGAACCGAGATCGCAACGTTTCAAGAGTATGATCACAACTAAAGTGTCCCATTTGATCATGCACTCCAGCCATAGCGATCTTATGATGACTGGAGGGAAATACCAACATATCTTATCCAAATTATCATATCTTAGTTTGGTATAAAACGTTGTCCCTAAAACATAATTCATCCATCTTGCGTAAAGCTGACAATACCAGCAGGCATCTCTTTCCCCTTCTGGTGACGATCAGGACGTGTTCGATTCATCTCCAATGGATTAGTCGTGATATAACAGGATCGTGTTTCTGCAATTCAGCCCAATCTCGAGGAGACACGGAGATGAGAGATGACACACCAAGGTACTCTGGCGGAGATAGGAACTCATTAGATATAGCTGTAGTCGTGTGTGCAATGGCCTCCACCCAAGGTGTCTCATCGGACATAAGATGACCCTGGCCAATCGCACGGATCTCATGAGAACTACGGTAGCGTCAAAGTGCGTTATTGTGTCCAGGGTGGTAACAAATTGACATGTTGTAGTTTGACAGTGCTGCCCACCGCCAGTGACCAGTAGCATCGAGTTTAGAGGCAATTGCTACATATGTCAATGGGTTGTTGTCTGTTAACACAACGGTCGTATTTCCATAACAGTAATCATGAAATTTCTCAGTCATCGCCCACTTAAGCGCCAAAAACTCCAGTTTATGGGCAGGGTAGTTGCGCTCACTGGGGGACAAACTGCGACTAGCATATGTGACAGGTCTAAGCCTACTACCCTCATCATCGTCTTGCAGTTGGTATAACACGGTGCCAAGGCCTTGAGTACTAGCGTCTGTATGCAATTCAAAGGGCTTCGAATAATCGGCATATGCCAACACTGGCGGGTTAAACAAGTGACGCATGAGTGTGTCGAAAGCTTCTTGAGTTTCGTCGGTCCAATGAAACTGCTTCTTTAATTTAGAATTTTTACAAGGTTGACCAACCGTTAGTTTGTACAAAGGCCGGACGATAGCCGAATAGTTTGGTACAAAACATCTATAGTAGCCCGCAAACCCCAAGAAGGTGTGGGCCTCATGGACATTAGTAGAAATAGGCCAATCACGCAATGCCTGGATCTTATGAGGATCCGTTTCTACCTTATGCTCTGACACCACCTGGCCAAGATACTTAACGCGATTTCGGAAGAACTTGCATTTTGAATGCTTTATCTTCAGGTCGTTCTCCCTCAATCGCTTCAAAACCTTATCCAACCTCTCGACATGTTCCTCATATGTTTCCGAAAACACAACAACATCATCGACATATGCTTGACATATGCGATTGTTATAATCACCCAGGGCTC